TTGCTTACCACCAAGCCTCATGACTCAAGTTTGATCCCTAGGAGAGATGGAACCACTCGCCTACTGCCACAAGTGCTACACACACAAACGCACAAACACACACACACACACACAATCAACCAATCAATGTAAAAGAAAAAAAAATAAGTTCAAAGCTCCCATTTCTGGTGCAACCCAGTGTGTCCCAGACATCAGCATCAGGACACACTAATCTAATGAAACTGCGTTCAGGTGCCTGGGGCTCATACAGGCTTTAGAGGGTCGCACGGGGGGTGGGGGGGAAGGGAGGCTGACAGGAAGGAGCTCAGTAGGAGGACTTAGGTTTATGGTCTAAGCAGGCCAGTCCTGTATTCCACACCAGCCTGCAGCTCTGATTTAAGATCTTATTTATTTATTTATTTATTTATTTATTTATTTATTTATTTATTTATTTACTTACTTATTTAATGTAGGTGGAACCCCCTTCTTTCACTCTTCTCAAGCTCTCATCCTCTAGCCCTTCCCGAAGACCCAGAGGCCTCAAGCAGCTGAGGCAGAACGGCATACACTTGGTTGGGAGTCGTGGCTAGCTTCTTGGGTGAGGCTCTCACGGTTGTCCTGGCTGCCTCTTTCTCTGAGGGAGGATCTGCAGTCAACAAGCCCAGCTCTGTGATGGGCTTCAAGCCCATCCGATCCCAGCTGATCCAAGTGACGTGGCAGCTTGGCTGGAGGAGAACCTCACAACGACCTGTAAAATCCAACCCATCATGTTTTGCTTTTCACTCGTTTGTATCTTCAGTGTTCTCTTTTCAGCTATGACCTCAGGCTTTCCCCCCCCCTCTCCCCCCCCCCCCCCCCCCCCATGACAGAGTTTCTCTGTGTAGCCTTGACTGTCCTGGACTCACTTGGTAGACCAGGCTGGCCTCAAACTCACAGAGTTCCACCTGCCTCTGCCTCCCAGAGTGCTGGGATCACAGGTGTGAGCCACCACACCCCGCTGACCTTGGGCTAAACACCAAATTCTATTTAGTGTGTACCTACTTGTGTGTATCTAGGCTTCTGCAGCACTGTAAGCAGAAAGAGAAGGCAAACAGGGTGAGTGCTGCTGGGCCTGAGGTTCTGATCTATAAATGCACTGTCCTTTTCCATTCACTCCTCCTGGGGCTGAGCGTGAGGAGCACGGAGGTGGTGGGCAGGATAATGGATCAAGGCAGCCAGGTTCCAGGAGGAGTCCAAAGCTTTAACCACAATGCCACCCCGACGACCCAGATTCGTGCCTCTCGTTCTAGTTCACAAAGGGTGAAATGCAGAGTCTGGATTGGGAGTTTGACACACAGGTATCTGGATACCCGCCGCCTCAGGATGTGGCAAATTCCTGTTATTTCTCCTGGCACCTCCCCAGGGCCTATCAGGGAACCCTGACGGAATTTCTGTCACCCTTACAGCTAATACTTTCTACTTTTCCAAGTCATCTGTAGCCGGGGTCTTCAAACCACAAACCCTCACAGTCAGGATAACCGCCTTGGGGCTGGGGTCTTCCCGCTGCAGACCAGCTTCCGCCAACATTGCTGTAACTGTGTTCCCTCTGTATGGTGTGTGTGTAATAACAGTGTCCCCATCACACAATGACACTCTGGTTACTCTCCAACTCTGGGCCCAGGCTCCATCTGAACTGTCCAGGCACAATGAATCAACACTGTGTCAAACTCATCTCAGCTGTGATTGGCAGAGACCCTAATGCACTGAACTAAAACCCCATTCTACCAAAGGTTCTGATTTTCTGATAATTTTTTGTATTCATTACTGTGGGTGATAACATTTTTTACATTTTACATTTATTCAAAGCTTTAAAAAACAAAACAAAACAGAACTATACTGGTGCTAGAGAGTAGTTAAGCATGGTTTCTGTTCTGAGTTTGATTCCCAGCACCCACATGGTGGCTCACCACCGTCTGTAACTCAGTTCCAGAGAATCAGATACCCTGTGCTGGCCTCCTTGGGTACAGGCATTCGGGTGGTTCACAGACTTACATGCCGGCAAAACACCTATTTACAGAAAGTAAATGCAAGAACAACTATGCTGAGAGATGATGAAATAGGTAACTAATCTTTTTTGGTTTTTTGTTTGTTTGTTTCAAGACAAGGTTTCTCTGTGTAGCCTTTGCCGTCTTGGGACTTTCTTTGCAGACCAGGCTGGCCTTGAACTCATGGAGATCCGCCTGCCTCTGCCACCATGCTGGGATTACATGGGTATCGGTGCTCCACTGTGCCAATAACTAATCTTTTTAGCTCTTTAAAAAAATAATTTTTGCTTCCCCCCACCCCAGGGGCGTGAGAGGCGCGTGTTCATACTCGCAGCTGTGCAGTCCGTGCAGGACCTAGGAAGACTGCCAGGCATGGCACCCCGCCTTCGGGGAAACGGGCTCACAGGGTGAACGGATGTGGCCTGGAGATGATCCAGCTGAGCTCGCTTCAGTACAGGTTCCTGGAGCCCGTTCCGCTTCCGGGCAAGGAGCAAATCACTGGTGTGGACATTCGGATCTGTGTGAGGGTGGTGGTCGTGTGGCCCAGATTTACGCCACCCGACAGTCCGTCTCCAAAGCTGTGGTGGCTTAGTACCAAAAAGTATGTGGGTGAAGCCTCAAAGGAGATTAAGATGCCCTCATCCAGTATGGCAGGACCTGCTTATGGCTGACCCCTGTCGCTGTGAGTCCAAAAGGTTCGGAGGTCCTGGTGCCCAGCCATCTCAAGGATCAGGGTTAACTTTGTAATAAACATGCTAGGATTTTAATTGAAAAAAAAAAAAAAATCAGTTTTCAATGCTGGGCGTGGTGGCACAGGCCTTTTAGTCCCGGCACTTGAGAGGCAACACCAGGCGGATCTCTGTAAGTCTGAGTCCATCTTGGTCTACAAAGTGAGTTCTGGGACAGTCCTGGCTACCTGGGGAAACCGTGTCTCAAAAAAACTACAACCAAGCAGAAATCGTTTTCTGTGGTGCCAGGGTTAAACGTATGCTGTGTTCTATCACTGAGCTACAGCTAAAGTGCCAGTCATTTAAGTCAAGTTGTAAAAATAATGAAGTAAAAATAATGAATGAAATGGTCTCCATCTCTCCCTGTCCTGAACCTTTACTTACTCCCCAGAATAACCAATTTGTAAAAGTGTAATAGAGGCTTTTCAGCATTCATCAAGCCTGTGTGCGTGCAGCGAATGAAAGGGTGCAGATTAGTTTCATCCGAGAGAGTTGAACTGTCCTTTATTGTTCAACAGAGCTGGACACACTGCATCCGTAAAATGTCGTGATTCCCAGAGATGTCCCTAGACATACATTGGGAGACTTGCTGGTTCAAGCAACACCAAGAAGGATGAATTGTTCCTGCCTCGGGGGTCTAAGTCTCTTTAACACAGAAAGGCAGCCTGAATTTCCAATCTCCGTGATGATGTTTTCAAAAAAGGCATTCCACATTCACTAAGCTGTGTGCTGTCCTAGGAATCCATCCGGCTCAACTTCACAGTCTGGGTGAAGTGTGGACTCTCTTACACACAGCCATGTTCTGCTAAACTTTTTTTTTTTAAGATTTCTTTTTATTCATACAGTGTTCTGCCTGCATGTGTGCCTGCACACGAGAAGAGGGCACCAGATCTCACTGTAGATGGTTATGAGCCATCATGTGGTTGCTGGGAATTGAACTCAGGACCTCTGGAAGAGCAGCCAGTGCTCTTAACCTCTGAGCCATCTCTCTAGCCCAGCTATGGCAAATCCCATGGCAGGCAGGTCTCTCTCTAGTGAGATATCTCATGGTTCCTCGGGTGTGAGGGCCTCCAATCATTTATCTTCATGGGGGCTGAGGCTGATGGGAACAGAACGATGGGAGGGTTCCTGAGATTGACCCAATCTCTTACCTCTGTAATCACCTGAGGATTAGACTCCCTGTCCTTGGCCTGTCCGTCTTCAGCCAACAGACTCCCTGACTCCAGTCATGATCTCCCTGGCCCTCCAGTGTGAGGTTTATTACTTTTTTCTTGAGATTTGAGGTTCTAACCAGATTGGTATCTTTCTGGTGGCCTTTGGTGTGTGTCTTCTGGCTGTGTACATGATGCTGTGTGACACATAATTTTGTACTTGTCCATGTGAAGAACCATCAGTAAGAACTGTAGAGAGCTCGACGGCAGAAACAGCTCAGCATTACGAGCACTTGTTGGTCTTCCGGAGGATTTATGGATTTCATTCCAGGCAACCATGTGGTAGCTCACAATGATGTGGAACTCCAGTTCCAGCGCCTCCAATGCCCCCTTCTGGCTCTGGCACGCATGCACGCACACACACACACGCAGCTTGCTTTTAGAGGCCACCAAGTGCAGGGCAAACCGTAGATCGTGTGGCGTCACCTTGTCTGTTCGACTGCTTGCTGTCCCACGCTGCCTCCACGGCTGGCTGCAGGAAAAGAGGGATGTGTGGGCTTCATACTCTGTCGGCCCTTGTCTTCTGAGAGAGACCGTCTCTAACAGTCGGTGCCAGCCAACCACGGGCTCTGACTTCCATAGAGTGCATGTGACAATGAAAGCTCGGCAGCCCATCAATAACGCAAACTGCTACTGCATCTCAGCTCAGGGTAACGCGCGCTGCAGGGCTCCGCTGTCGTTCTGGGCTCCCAGAGCATGTCTGTCCTTCAGCAACCTGACACACCAAACCTCAAGCCAATCAAAATCCCGAAGGGCAGAATTTCTTTAGGAGGTCACTCCTTCAGCGTACAACTCCAGGAAGGTTTCCCAAGGAAAACAAGCTCTCAGCGTGTGCAGCATGAAGCCGGTGTTATTCTGTTCACAAGCACAGCGCCTCCTCTGCATCCAGTATTGTGAGAACCACATACCTGCTCCTTCAACATGAACCTGTGGACTGAAGACAGAGCTCAGCGGTGAGGTGTGTCTAGTGGTGAGACAGGGCAGTCACTTCTGTGATTTACACAAACAGGAACAGCCCATTTTTGTTTCTCTAACCAGGGATACAAAAGCACACAAGCTTTTTACATTAAAATTGAGAAATTTATTTTTTTTCATGAAATAGTAAGGAGAATTTTTCATGAAATAGTTAACAGAATTAAAGTACAGAAATATACATCTTAAAACAACTGAAATCATACTAGGACCTGAATGACAATTGTACATTTATGACGAAAGGAAAAATGAATAGTTTAAACAATTGATTCACTTTAAAGTTTTTGCTCACTAATTCACCTAAAATTAAACACAGGAAGAAAACTGAGATTTGGGCACCTTATAAAATGAAATAATGCCACTTTATCCTTGTCAAAGGAAATGACCACAGTGAAACAGTGGTTCTGTTCCCATCACAAAAGCCCTTGTCACTCCACCATTCACAAATGTGTCAACTATCAGTCCTTTCTGATTTTTAAGGGTGCCAATTTAAAAAATACTTTCCTTAGGCACCGAGCAATAGATTTTGTCCAGCTCATGTGAAGAATTGGGGAGAGCACCCCAAATCATTGGCTGGTCATGGCTTTCTTCTACAGTTCACTGAGGTCAATCTGCCTTGTATACTTACAGCAGCCAAAAATTTATATATATATATATATGTGTATTTGTATGTATTTACAAACTGTACATATTTACATGACCTCATTGAATACTGAATTGTAGAAATAAGAACGCCCTTCATAAAGGCATTCACTTCGTGCCCTAGCGTTATCTTCTTGTGCAACTAGAACTTCCCAGAGTCCGTAGGAAGCTAAAGACAGTCCACATTGCGGAGGCCGCCATCCATTGTTAAAGACCCAAACCTAGAACACAGGAAAAGAGAAGAAAGATAATCTTAGCGGTTCCACTCATTTGCTCTCCAGCACCCCCCCCACCATATCTTAGGGACTGAATAGAGGACCATCGTGATGCTGGGAAAGAACCCCATCAATAAGCTGTCCCCCAGTTCTTGACATTCCAACACTAAAGAAAACAACTAGATTTCAGAGGAATGGTTTGTTACAATTGTTACTGTCATCACCATCACAATCATCATTATCATATAATATTTATATTATACAATATCATTAAGGACAACTCTGTGGAGTCAGTTCTTCCTCACACCTGTAACGTGGGTTTTGGGAACTGAACTCAGGTCACCAGGCTTACTACACAGCAAGAGCTTTTATCTGCTGCACCATCTTGCTGGCCCAGGAATAGTTATTTTCAAAAAATTTAAACAACTGCAATTTGCTCTATTTCTTACTGAAAGTGCACTATTATATGAATGAGTACAATTCAGTGACTGGGAAAAGTTTAAAAAGAAAACCATTTGTTGGGGCTGGAGAAGCGGCCTGGCAGTTAGAGAACGCTGGCTGCTCCCAGGTGGGAGTCCAGCACCTACGTGGTGTCTCACAGCCAGCTTAACTCCAGTTCCAAGGAATTCAGGCTTTTCTGGCCTCTGGGGCACCGCACGCAGGTACACACGCAGGTGAACCCCCCCCCCCCCACACACACACAATAGGATGTTCACAGAAATACATTTTAAGTGTTAATCAATCTGGAGTGTCTAAGAGTGCACACATGCACCACGAACCACGATGCACTGAGGGGTCAAGGCAGGCAGGGGTCAACAGCAGGCAGTTAGGCCTCTCCTTCCACCATGTGGATGGCCAGCTGGTGGCAGGCACATCCCCTGACCTGGGAGAATTTTAACAGCAATCGGGAAGGGAGTGATGAAACTAAGAATGGTCAGAACTGAGCTTCTTTGTCTTGTTTTAGTGAGGGGTTGAGTTTATAAGCCCAAGTACAGAGCTCAGAGTGGCGCCCTGCAGGGTAAGAAGATGGGGCCTCAGTGAGCGAAGGGTGGTTCTGGGGAGAAGGAAACAATGCTGGTGTGCAGGCAACAACCAAGGCCTCACTTCCTCTACACAAACATGGAGTTAGACATGGAGTTAGAGTACTTTTTTTCCTTTTCTTTTCTTTTTGTTTTTTTGGTTTCTCTGTGTAGCCTTGTCTGTCCTCGACTTGCTTTGTAGACCGGGCTGGCCTCGAACTCACAGAGCTCCACCTGCCTCTGCTCTTGAGTGCTGGGATTTCAGGCGTGTGTCATGGTGCCCGGCTAGACTACTTTCTAGATAACAGGAGTTCAGATTTTTTGTTTTGTTTTGTTTTGGAGACAGGGTTTCTCTCTGTAGCCCTGTCTGCCCTAGAGCTCACTATGGAGATCACGCAGTCCTCGAACTCACAGAGATCTCCAACTTTTCTGAGTTCTGGGATTAAAGACATGTACTACCATACCTGGTTAGAAAATTTTAAGCAAGGGAGGGACATGGGTTATGTCAGTATTTCAGATTATTCTGGCTGTAAATACCAGTAACCTGTGGTAGCAGGTTACTATCACAGCTTTCCTGGGAGAAAGGAAGTTCGGGTGAGCGGAAAGAGGGGCCTTATAAAGACTACTGAACTAGTCAAGGGGGAGGAGAGAGGCAAGCCCGTCAAACATTCATGTTTCAAGAGGCAGGACATGGTGTCCTTGGAGCAGTGTGCGACCATTAGAGAGAACTATGCCGGAAGGTATGGTTTCAGATACAAAAACTCCTAGAGGTGAAACAGGACACCCACGAGCGCACGGGGGAGGTAGGGCAACATTCCCAGTAGTCCCGGCTTCCACTATGGGTCAAACATCCTGAATCTTACACCCTGAAGCCTGCCATAACCCAAATGAAACCTCTGAGTAGTGACAAGTGGCCACAGATGGAAATTCTACAGCTGACCTCACAGGCAAGCTGCACTTACAATGCAGGCATCCTAAGACGCTGTTTGGAATTATTTCCAGAGCACGTGTACAAGGAGCATATGGAACAGAGGTAAGCGTCAGGCCTGTATTTGAGCCCCATCTCCACACTTGGTTATCCAGATAGATCCTGGCATCTCAAACACTTCTGGTTCCAAACATTTTTCTCATGTAACTGAATATGTGGGCTGGAGTGGGGGAGGGGCCACAAAAAATGACCATAGCATTAGGCTTCTGAATACACAACAGCCAAAATCTAAGTCAAAACCAGGGCAAAGCTGAGGTGCTTCGGGCAGCTGGCACTGCATGACAGACTCCGCTGAAGGCTTCTGTGGGGCACCAGCGTCATCATGCCATGCGCCCCTGAGCGCTTCCTCTCAGAGGCTTTTACATCACAAGCGGCACAGGCTCTCCTGAAAATGCAGCTTTCTGCACTTAGTTTAGCCATGGACAATGACTGTTCCTCGGCGTGTAAATATCAAACCAGCATGTCTGCACTGTGCTGTTAAGACAAATGGACTCATTCCTTAAGACGCCACCTCACTCGCCTCTTTAGTAAATAAAGGTGTGCAGAGGGCTTTGTAGGCTGGCTGCTTAGCAGTCAGACCGCTAGTGCAGAAAATCAGGTGAAGAAGTTCTTTTTTCTTTTCTTTTTCAAGACAGGGTTTCTCGGTGTAGCCTTAGCTGTCCTGGACTTGCTTTGTAGACTGGCCTCGAATTCACAGAGATCTGCCTGCCTCTGCCTCCTTAAGTCCTGGGATTACAGGTGTGCACCACTGCAGTGAAGATCTTCACAGAGTCAAATAAGCAAGCTATCTATTAAAAATAAATGTCAAGCCAGGAGTAGTGGAGCATGCCTTTAATTTAAACACTTGGGAGGCAGAGGAGGCAGGTCTCTGTGAGTTCAAAGCCAGCCAGGTCTACATAGTGAGTTCCAGTCTAGCCAGGGCTGCATAGTGAGACCCTGTCAAAACCAAAAGAAAGCAACAAAATCAATGCCTAAACCCAAGATCCCCACCACACTGAGGGCAGGTAATGGCTGAGACATCCCTTCCCTTTCACTAATACACCTTCTGAATCGAGGCAGAGCTATAGCAGAGCTGGGCAGAGCCAGCAGCAGCCCCATGGGGCCCGCACCACTCACCGCTCCAAAATGTGGTTGTTCTCGGCCAGCTCCTTAACCACGCCTTCCATCTCTTCCTTCAACTTCTTCATACTAGATGAATAAGGCAAAGATAAACACAGAATTATATTTATATGTTTGTAATTTTATAATCTAAGTAGCCATGCAATAATACCAAGTAGAGCAGACATTAAAAATTTTGAAATGTGAGCCAGGTATAGTGGCGCATGCCTGTGATCCCAGCTCTTGGGAGGCAGAGGCAGGCGGATCTCTGTGAGTTCAATGCTAGCCTGGTCTACAGAGTGAGTCCAGGACAGCCAAGGCTATATACAGAAACCCTGTTTCAAAAAACAAAACCTAAAAACAAAAAACAAAAAAACCCCACAAACAACAACAACAAACAGAAAGAAAGAAAGAAACGTAAGAACAAGATCTCAGACTGAAGCGAGAGCATGTGGCACCATTCTAGTTTCCCCAGGGTACTTCTTACCCAAGAGTCATCTCCACTAAGGTGTTAGAACTGGGGTAGACAGGGGCCATAGAGTGCTTGAGTCCGCTGGAGGCTGCAAGCATCTTCTGAGGCAGAGTTTCTTGTAACTACAACACAAAGGAAGATGTCAGTAGACAGGGCACATATCACCAACCAGCTGAGGAAGGCTACCCCGCTCCCAGCACCTACTGTATAGGTGGTGTGGGAAACCCTGTGCTGTCTGGGCAAGTGCTGGACTGTGGATCTACAGTCCCAGCCCAGCGTTAAATTCCTGTTTCAAAACTGTCCGTGGAAAATGCTAAAATCAGCACTCTTTAAAGACAATTTTTGGGCTAGAGAGACAGCTCAGAGGTTAAGAACACTGGCTGTTCTTCCAGAGTTCAATTCCTAGCAATCACATGATGGCTCATAACCACTTATAATGAGATCTGGTGCCCTTTTCTGGTATCAGGCAGAATGCTGTATAACTAATAAATAAATCTTAAAAAAATCAATTTTCCTTACAAACAATAAAAGATTAATTATCAGGTGCTTTTAATTGTCCAACATCTAAAAAAAAATGAGTGATGGGCCAGTAGCACAGCGGCAGAGGTGCCTGCTGCCAAGCCGCCAACCTGAGCTCCTTCCTGGAGCCACAGGGTGGAAGTTGTCTTTTGGCATCGTGTGCTCACACAGATGAATACATGTAACACACTTTAACTAGAGCGGAAGTGCACACAGGCACATGATGTCCCATGTCTCCTACAACCATTATGGAAGCTCTACTGCAGCAGTCCTCTTATAGAAAGCTCTTCCCTATAGTACTTGAGGGCTGTACCTCGTTAGTGTAGTCTTGATACTTGGACACTTCCTCTTCAATATCAAAACACTGATTAGTGAGTGACGACAGCTGTTTCCTGAGATGAAGCATCTTTCTGAAAAGCAATGAGAGTCTTTTAGCGAGCAGCTCCTGGAGACACTCACTTAAAATACACAATGTACACTACAGTGCAGACCACCCTCACCCCTCACAGATCTACTCACCTCATCCACTCGTCTGACTTAGCCAGAAAGACTTCGTACTTTCTAACACACTCATCTGTGAAGTGGCTCATTGCTTTTGTTGCATGGTAATACAGTTTTTGTCTACAAATTAGAAATAAGCAAAGACTTTAATGTAACTTCACTATTTCTACTTCCAATTAAAAACATGCCAGATATACAACATTTACAGTGATTGTGGATTTGGACTACTTAGAAAGCAGAGCTGGGGCTCCAGGGTTTGTAAGCCACCTGCCTGCACAGCTGTTGGGCACTGATCTGAGCCCCTCAGAAAGAGCAGTACGAGTTCCTAACCACTGAGCCCTCTCTCCAGCACCAAATACTTATTGGCTCCAGTTAGTCAGGATGGTTGTGCTGCTCTCTGTAAGCACAGCACTCGAGGCGGGGACAGCTGAGTGAGCAGAACAAGGTCTTCCTCCTGTCATTCTCCCATCTTAGTACTCTCTTGGCCAGGGACCAGATAAGTGAACCCATACAATGTATACCCCTAGTGAAAATCTCTCAGAGGCAAGATTAAAGTGCACTGTTATTGCAATTAATCCAACTTTAAGAAGAATCAAGATATAAAAAAATAGCAACAGAAAGAATCAATCTTAACTGAATCTGAACACTTACTTATCAAATTTGTGGATCTGTTCTTCATTATAAGCTAGTCCTGGAAATGGGAAAGAACATACTTTTGTTGATGTAGAATTGACTGTTACATGAGATATTTTCTCCTTTGAGATTACTGCTTCAAAAAGGCTAAGAATTTTAAGTGGATATAACAGGTTTGGGGTGCACCCATTGATTTGGTCAATATAAAACTATGATTTAAAAATAAAAATTAACTGTCAACATTTAAGTCAAGGGTATTTTTTAAAAGATTTTATTTGTTCGTTTGTTTTACATATGCGTGCTCTATCTGTATGTACAGCTACATGCCAGAAGAGGGGATCAGAGCCCCGTGTAGATGGCTGTGAGCCACCATGTGGTTGCTGTGAATTGAACTCAGAACCTCTGAAAGAGCAGACAGTGCTCTTACCCGCTGAGCCATCTCTCAAACCCATAGTCAGGGTACTTTGAATAAAGCATCTATGTCTAGCTTTTCCTAAAAAAAAAAAAATGAATCCCAGCACTCAGGAGGCAGAGGCAGGTGGAGCTCTGTGAGTTCAAGGCCAGCCTGGTCGACAGAGTAAGTTCTAGGACAGCAAGGACTACACAGAGAAACCCTGTCTCTAAAAACAAACAAACAAAAAAAAAAAAAAAAAAAAAGGAGAGGGGTGGTGGCCCAGGCAATGTAGGGATGACAGGGCAGGGGCCCCATTTCAGATGTGCTACTGACTTCAGGCAGACATTCCTGTGTGCTACCTGCCTAGCCTCCAGAAGATGTAGGCTTCATATCCTTAGTTTAAGACAAGCAAAAGGTTGGTTTGACAATTTCCAACCACTTTCTGACACATCTCTTCAGCAGCTGCATTTAAGAGCACAGCATAGGAACGTACCACTTAATTCTAAATTGCAGGACATGGTGGCGCACACCTGTAATCCCAGTCCGCAGGGAGACAGAGGCAGGGAGATCTCTGTGAGTTCGAGGCCAGTCTGCTCTATATAGCCAAGGCTACACAGAGAAACCCTGCCTCGAAAACACCAAAAACCAAAATCTAAAAACCAAAACCAAACCAAACTAAACCCAACCAACCAACCAACCAACCAACCAACCAACCAACCAACCAACCAACCAACCAACCAACCAACCAAACATACCAAGCTGATGCATCAGGGGAGCAAATGGCAAGTGTTACTTACTGCGTTCTGCTTTGTCCTTTTTGAACTGATAGTAAATCTCTGTGATGCAATTTAACAGGACTTGTAGTTTTTCTACACTATTTAAGGAAGAAAAACCCAAGTAAATAATTGGAATTGATGTAACAAGAACAATGAATAGGACCAGAGATTACCCACGAGGCTGTAACCTACTTCCTGTCTCTTGGATGGGTGCCTTCCTGATGTGCCCACGTGTCAGCCAGCAATCCCCCTGGAGACAACCTGCTCTTGATGTCCTGAAGACTGCTTTCTATTGTTCCCTGAGAACTGGAAAGCTAAACAGAACAAGGGATTAGGTCAGAATGCCCAATCAAAATAAGGGATTAGATCCAAATGTCCAGTCAGAGATGACCATCTGGGGCTCTGGCTGACAGGCTCTGCCAACCCACCATCGATTTCTACGTTTCCATGGGAGGCTGATCCTGCTGGTCAGGCACTACCCTGATCACTGATGCAGCACATTCATGGAAAACCTTTTAATTACTGTTTTTAGGGACTGGTGCTTGTGGTGATGTGATATTTTAAAATTAGAAATTAGAATTTTTATGGTAGGAATTAACTTGAGCAAATGAGCTACATCTCCTGCCCATCATTTTATCTCCTAATTTTTTTTCTAGTGTTTTAAATATCATTTAAAGCATGTAAGTAAATCGAAATTTTCATGGGACAGTGATTTATAATCTGTGATGCATTCTGACATTTTCTATCCTATCTAATACTGCCAGCTACAAGGGGCTAAACCCCACAATGCATTATCACCCATGACTCACCCTTTGGAAAGCACTGTTCTAGATCTAAAGCTACGGAAAGGAACAGCTAAAGATGACAGATCTGAGCTCTTACTAAGTTCCCTATATTTGTGTGCAGCATAAGCAGGCTAAAGGACAGCCTTGGTGTCATTCCTCTGGTGCCCTCACCATTTTTTTATTCATTAATTAATCACTTTACAGCCTGATCCCGGGCCCCTCACTCCTCTCCTCCCAGTCCCACCATCACACCTCTTTCCTCCTATTCCCCCCTCCCCTTCTCTGAGGAGGCCCCCATGGGTACCAACCCACGCTGGAACATCAAGTTGCAGCAGGACTAAGCACATCCTCTCCCACTGAGGCCAGACAAGGCAGCCCAGCTGGGGAAAGAAATCCAAATGCCCACCCCATGGGAGAGGGCCAACCCCTGACCTATGAATGACACTCTGCTATGCTTGCAGGCAGGAGGCCAGCATAACTGACTTCTGAGAGGCTTCATCCAAAAGCTGATGGAAACAGATGCAGAGACCCACATCCAAATACTGGGCCGGGCTTGGAGAGTCTTATGGAAGAGTGGAAGGAAGGATTGAGGAAGTTGAATGGGACAAGGACTCCACAAGAAGACCTACAGAGTCAACTAACCTGAGCCCATGGGGCTCACAGAGTCTGAACCACTAACCAAAAAGCACGCATGGGCTGGGCCTAGGCCCCGTGCACACATGGAGATGTGCGGTTTGTTGTTCAATTGGAGCGTGGGGTGGGAGGGCTGGGGGGCTGTCTCTGACTCTTTTGCCCTCACCACTTTTGAGAAACTTGGCCAGAACTCACCAAATGGGCTAAGCAGTTGGCAGTAGACGCTAGAAGCTCCCTCTCCAGCCCTGGGATTACAAGTGTCACCACATTATACCGGTTCTCCCAGACTGGGCTCAAGTTCTACCAACCAGGCTATTCAATTCCCAGGCCTCAAATTTAATTTTTTTTAAATGACATTTTCTTTCTTTCTGTGTACGCGTGTGGGGGTACACATGCCATAGCCCATGAGTGGCGGGTCAGACAGTTTATGGAGCTGTAGTCTTCTATCAAGAGGACCCTGGGAATCGACTCAGGACATTAGGCATGACAATAAGTGTCTCTATCCACTGAGCTATCTTGTGGGCCTCCTTTACACTCTAATTTAACACCCACTTTCTGAATTCCCTAAATGCTACAAGCTTGTAGGAACACAGTAGTTCTACCTTTATTTAACTGCTACAACAACCCATAAGATTTAGATAAAGAAGCTGCTATTTTTCAGAGAGAGAGAAACCAAAAATGCAAAGAATAAAGGCCTTATGACAGCTGGAGATTTGGCGCAGTGGTTAAAGAGGGCTAATTGTTCTTCCAGAGGACCAGAGTTCAATTCTCAGCACCTACATCAGGTGGTTCAAAACTGCCTGTAATTCCAGCTCCAGGGAGATTCAAGGCGTGGACACCTGCACATACATGCACATAGCAGCACACATATATATATAATTTAAAAATAGTGTAAGTCTTTTTCAAGGTTCTTATGTAGCCATCAGGAGGCTCTGGGTAAACAGGAAGCCAGGTAGTAGCAATCAGCTCTCAGTACCTAACTGTGTGGACTGCTGCTCTAATGAGTAATCCATTCAGACCTCCTATTTTGTGTTCAGCAAACTTATCCTTACTGCCTTTCCTAGTTACAGAAATAATTCACTGCCTGAGGATCCCGAGGATAACAAATCCTTTTCTCTTTCTTTCTTTAGTTTTTTTTTTTTTTTTTTTTTTTTAGACAGGGTTTCTCTGTTGTAGCCTTGGCTGTCACTTTGTAGAACAGGCTGGCCTTGAACTCACAGAAATCTGCCTGCCTCTGCCTCCCTGAGAGCTGGGATCACAGACGTGTGCCACCATGCCCAGCTCCTTTTCTTTAAGATATCTGATACTTTTGGATTTGCAGTTATTTCTGAGCAAGTGTAAGTACTTACAATTGACTGCATGTTAAAGAGGCACATAATAAATGTCCTTTATTACCACAAAGCACACAAAGCATCAAGGATTAAAAACAAAGCAAACAAAAAAATGCAGAAATTGTGGAGTGGGAGGTAACAGAGACAAGACACACACTTGTGTTGAAAATACAGAAAACTAGTAAAAAAAAACTGTATGGCGGAAATGGTGTGTGTGTGTGTGTGTGTGTGTGTGTGTGTGTGTGTGTATTTAAGAATATAAATAGGTCTCTCTCTTTTTCTGTTCCTCTCCCTCTCTCTCTCGGGGCGCCCCTTTCTTTTTCTCTCTCTCATCATGTCCTGCTCCCCCCTTCCCTCCATACCCATCTAATAAACCTCTTGCATAGAAGAAGAAGGAGGAAGAGGAGGAGGAGGAGGAGGAGGAGGAGGAGGAGGAGGAGGAGGAGGA